AGGTTTAGCTGCAAACTGCTAATTTTGTAAGATCCGAGCGCCATTGTCGTGCACTTTCGAACTGCGAGAACGGCACATCTGCGCTACTCGTGGGGGAGTATCCCACTACTTGAATCTTCGACATGGCTTTTGCGGGGGTTTAGCTAGAGGGAAGCGCAAGGGAACTGTTTTCTTCCTTGAAAATTTCTAGTCAAAATTAGTTATCCGGGGGGGATAAAGAGATATTGACACTAGGAGAGATCATCGACGAGAACAGAAAAATTTTAAAAGGAAATACGGCTTCCAAATTAGGCCAGTGAACATGATGGGGGGGGATTTGGAGATGCCACTGGATCTAGGGCGTGGGAAACCGTTTGGACGGATTGTCTTCGGCCAGTAGAGTTGCCGAATTGGCCTCGCCTTCAATCCCATGCACTCACAGCCGTTGAAATGCTTTTTAATATGCGCAATGATGTACAAAATGATTTCGTGAAATTTCGAAGTATTCTGCTCTCTAAGTGCTAGTTTAGTCCCATCAGAAGTGAGCTTCGCGAAAGGGTAGAAACTAGCTCTGGGACCGTCACAAATTTTCTATGACTCCAGGATGGTGACGAAAGAAAGCGAAGGCGAATGAATGACGCATTTGTGCCCAGAAAATCAATCCCTTTCAGGTATTTCAAGTATCCCAAGCGCCATAATATGAGCGAATGTCCGGCATATTTTGGAAAAGTCACAATTTTCATCGCGTACTCGCTGTACAACTCGTCTCATCTCAAACATGGGTATGTTTGAAGGCATGCATCAAACTGTGTTGTTTATTTATTTCTGTATTTAGTTAATGCGCTCTTAAATACGATATTGCAAAACTCAGATTAGATCAGGTCACAAAAACGCAACAAGAAAGCTGATCATCACGAAAGCAGCTTGAAAATTCTCCAAATGACTACGATAAAATATGAAAGATAGCCTCTTGACAGTTTTGTTCAAGTCCTGCCAGTCGAACTCAGTTCGATTTCGTGTGTGAATTGAAAGAGATGAGCCGCAGGACGAAGACTTTACGGTACTCTTCACTAGCAGATCAATTCGCACATGTATCTTCACTTCTTACCAAGCGTGCGACAGGGACGAGGGTCGTAACCGGTCTGGTGGGCAGGAGAAGTGTGGGGGGAACAGTAGTGAAAGAGAGCCAATAATAGTTTGGTGAGAACCGTGACTATCGCTAAATATCGAGTGCACGGCGCGTCTCATCGAGTTCGATCAATGTTATGCGCTGTTTATGTGTCCTGAATAGACGTTTTCTTATTTACGACTACCGAATTAACAGTGGCGATCAAGACTATGGCGCTGGATCAGCTTTCAGCAGCTCCTAATGGCACTCACGGACGTTTTGAAAGAATCGCTAAACAAGAGTCGCCTCAATCGGCTTCTAAAACTCCAGTACCGGCCAGTGACTTTATGACGTAGCTTAGGAGCAGTGGCTGTGTAAACTCGCGCAATTTCACTTATGAGGCCTGACGTCGAACTATACGTGCAAATGCATGATGTCAGTAACTGACATCAAGGACATCTTTACGGTGGAACCCACACGATGCTCGACGAAGCAGCTCGTGTTTCGTACTCTCCTTCCTGTCAAGGCCTGTTAATCGCCGATCCTTAATGGTCAACTACTTCACCTATGATTCTTATTCCACTACGCACAATGTGTCTCACTTTCACAGCATGCCTCTTATAACCTGATTCAGACCATCGTAGTCGCCTATTCTGCCTGGCGATCTTATGCCAGCATGAACTCACTAAAGTAACCTTTGATACGAATACGGCTATAATTCGCGACCCACTTCATAAAATCTTCACTGAGAAATACGCGAGCCTCTTGCGTTTTTTTTTCGGTTTTTTATTATGGCTTCTGTTATGAAATTGGTTTGAAATGTTGAAGAAACCAAAGTTTTACGCTTTAGTGGATGCATAACTCATCCAGTATGCGTTTTTCCGCGAGAATCTAAGCGGGGCACATTTCAGGTTTGTGATTCTGGACTTCATAAACAGTCTGATGCTTTTCACAGTAGGGCATGAAAGCGGAGGGATGTCGCGCACAGCACGTGAAGGATCTGTTTCACAACTGCAATCGAGTGTGTATCATCCCCCGCCATTTCTAACCGCAAGCAAGCGTACTCTCCAGCAGTGAGGGGATTTCGTCGCTACCCCCATCATCGATTTCTGCGAAAATCCTATCGCTTTATAACTTGGAAACATTTCGTCAATAAGGCCAACTATACCTGTTGGAATTGCATCTAAGGATTCCCATTTGAACGGCGAGAGAAGCGAGATGTGACACTAGGAACTACATGCTTTGTTTCACTCAAGCGCCGTCAACAACTGGGTAAGGATCATGAAATCTCGGCAAAATAATCGGTCAATTTCGCGATGGCAATAGGCCAATGTTTGAATAACGTTTCGTGTTCTGAGAGCAATTGTTGGCCCCATCTTCTAAAGAAACGATCAATTCTGGGCATAAGCGGGATATATATCGCCCCACATTTAAAAGTTTTTTCTTGAGATGAACTAAGGCTGCATTGCAATATCTGGCATAGGAGGCCACTACAAGAGCTTGAAGACATATTCTGGCAGTCTCTGGTGAGCTAAGTTCAGTGTCCTCTTTGATTTTGAAAAAACTAATTTTAAACAGAGTAAGAAATGAATAAAGCAAAAAAAAAACAGCGAGATAGCTTTTTTCGCATGATTATTCGAAGTTAATATGGCAGGTCCGTATATCATCTCGCAGGACAAGTCAATCGTGAGTTGAAAAGTTAGATGTCATCTCAGTGCGACGGAAACAGTTCAAGTGTCCCCCGCCTTATTTTCGTGGTGGTTTTACATCTGAAGGACATGGTGAATCGACCGCAGTATTGCACAGTTCAGTTCGTCAAGCAGACAAGAAGCACGCGAGTTAGAATTCGAAAACAGCGAACTCAGGTGGTGGAAAGCGGAACTTGGAGCCTAATCAGGCTGAACCTCGCTTTGACGGCGTCAACAACAGTCACACCAATCACAGTAAGTTTCCAGCCGATACGCAACAATTCTGGTAAACAGCAAACCCATTAAATTCAAGGTAGTCTGAGTGCTGTTAAAATCATAATAATCAACTAATCGACATGGATTGTTATGGACAAACCTCAACTGCTGCCTTGGTCACTTCTCGTGCTCAGCGTATCAGGCGATCGTTTCCAGTTCCTTGGTCGACATGAGTGCACCTACATTTTCATTTCAAAATCGGCATAAGAAATATTTTATGTTGGTCGCACTCAACTAGGTGCAGAAAGGATTTTAAAGCTTGAAATCTACCACATCATGGACTCCTTCCTTGTACCCCATCCCTCCATCACGAACATCAAACTGCACCTACAGCAACACTTATGCAGTGAGTCAGGATCGCTGGAGAATTGCAATGACTGTATTCAGAATCTTCAATAACCGATCTCAAGACACAAACATAGTGATGGAATCACAATTCAACAAGCAGCATAGTGCTAAGAAACGTACTTCTAGTAAAAAAGACTTATGGTTGGTGTTAGCAAGCCAGTACAGTGGAACATCCCGGATGAGCAATTGTAGAAAGCTTCAGCGAATCGGAAGAGTATTTCACAAAGTCCTCACTGGAAAGGAAATTGCGTTCGACATGCCAATCAATTCCGACTTCGCTATTATGACGACATCTCCATACAGGAGGATATGGAAACTATACGAAATGTTCGATCTGAATCAAGAGTCTCCAGCTCCACTGCAGTCGACGGCGGCTTTGAATGGACAAGATGGAGATCAGTCAACAGCACTGGCCAATCATACCAACCAAAAAGATCGACACGGATAAGAAGGCCTCCAAGACGGCTCCAACAGGATTCACTTGAGAAAACATACTCTACCTGATACATTGCGATATCGTGTTCATTTCTCGAGAAAAGGAAGATATTGTGGATGAACAATAATTGATCTTCCAGTAACATTTGTTTTCGAGAGAACTCAAAAACCCACATAAAGATGTGACTTGAGCATGGTTTAGTCTGTGTCCTGAATAAACTTCTTTTTTCGACGACTACCGACGTAACACAATGAGGTCAGGAAAAACAGAAAAGGTAAGACAGAGGGGCGGGGGAGGTTGTAATCGTGGGGGTCTGCAACGAGTACATCAGGGGCTTCATGGCGCTGACAGCGATGAGTTGGAGGATGCAACGCAGCGGATAACGAGGATTTGTGAGGAAACATGATAGTATCATTTCCAGCTT